CCCCCCCCCCCCCTGCACACGCAGGGATGATGACCAACTTGCTGGTGCATCCTTGTTAAACGTAGCCTGGGCCGGCGAAAACCCGACTTCGGCATGAGTTACATGATAACACCCCCCCCCTGCGACTCACCACTAGCATCTACCGGTGCCGCCTCTGCTTGTGCTTCAGCCGCTGAATCTGCGGCGGCGGCCCCTAGCCTGGCTGCTGGGGCTGCGGAAGTGAACTCCGCCATGGCTGCCAGGGGTAGGCAGCTCGTCAACACGTCGTCGATCATGCTCTGGCAGTCCGGGCGCGCCTGTGAAAACAGAGAGGTACATCGACGGCGGGCGGGGCGGGGGTGTAGAGAACACAGGCCAGGCTCTCGGCACTTGGGGGTGTAGAGAACAGTGCGCTTGCACTTGCGGCACCGTTTTCGCACCGCTCCCACCATGATGCCCTTGGCGAGCGCCTGGCGAGGCTGCTTGGTAGAAGCTTCCGAGAAGGCGTCCCTGGCAGCCTTCTTCGCGGCGTTCTTCGCGGAGTATTTCGCCTTCCGCTCGTCGCCGGTGGCGTTGATAGCAGTCTTCCCCTCCTTGCGGAGCTTTACGGCGCACCCTAACCCTTGAACATAGGACTGCCGGCTTAGTAGGCCGGAACAAGTTGATGAGTGCCAGGGAGGAGAAATGACTCTGCTCGGCTGGGTGTTTTTGAGGTTCGGCGATCTAGGCGTGCAGCTGCCTACCACTTTTCGATGCAAGTATTTGATTTTGAGCGATGAGGGTAGCAAGACCTGCCAGTATTGCAGCGCAAGAATGTTGAAAGAAGAGAGTATCACCTGTCGCGAACAGGGCAAGTACCCTGTGCATAGGTTGAAGCCGTTGCCGGCGGGTGTTATGAACGCTTGTAGTTCTGCTAAGGTACAACCACTTTTTTTTTTTCACGTGTCTCGGTGCCAGCCGTGGCAAGCCCCGGTTCCAGTGAAACCACCAGCAATGCTCAAGTTACACGGCCGACCGTATCACCGTATCATGGACAGCTTCAGAAATTCATACAACACACCCGGCCGTCACGAAACAACGCTCACATGTACATTGACGACCACGAACTACAAAGCACGGGCCGATCTCTTCGCCTCGACGGCGAACCAGCAAAGAATATTGCGCGACAACTGCGCCAACACCATTCATGGGAAAAGCAGTATATCGTGCTCTTCTCCTTGAGATGGACAACTCCGAGGAAGACAACATGAGCATCTCTGTTCTACAGAACTTCACGAGTTAAACCCACCGCAAGAACAGAACCAGCCGCCTTGCTGTACAAATATAACTCAGACGATACCAGGCAGGCGCCATGTGTACACCTACCAAAGCAACGGACCACCGCAAGAACGCGACAAACCACACTTCATAGTTCCAATCTATACGACTTCATGCCTTCCGTTACAGTATCCTCTGTTATATTCTTGTGGAGACGGCGGATGGTCTCCAGGTGATTTTGAAGACGGAAGGCAAGACCGTACACTGTCCACCACAGGAAAAGCTCGAATCTACACGCGGCAGCGATTAACGATACAACCTTTCTTCCACAGCAATTTTTGCAACCTGTTAGTGACTCTTTTTATCTTTGCGGTTTCACGCACTCTGATTGGTCCGTTGGTTCCTAGCCTTGGACCTCTCTAGCGCCCTCTCGCTGTTCCGCATTCCGAGAACGCGGCGCAGCGTTTTCTCGACCAGTTCGTGGCCGCTGGGCCATGCTTTGGCCGTGGGTGAGGGTTAGGGTTAAGGTTAGGATAGACGTGGGGTGAGGAACCTAGCCTTGCTCGCGTGAGGAACCTAGTCTTGCAAAGTGCAACATCGGTTAGACCTAAAGAGTCACTTAACAGAACAACTAGACCTCGTCTTCCAGCAAAACTACATACTATGGCACAGGAGGGGGCATGCGACCAATACGCAACAACAGGTGACCTCAAACTCAGCTCAAACTCAGCTTCCAGATAAAATAATGGCCACCAAAAAACGCCATTGAAAGTGCACCCCGAATAAAAACAGTGGGCAGGCGACCGCCTGTATTTTTTCACGGGCCTTGCATTAACAGAAAGAGAAAGCAGGTAGACGCAATGGCCGTTGCTGCGCGCATGGACCCTCCTACCTTGATGGTGACCTTACTCCAACCTTCTTGGCCAGAAGTTACTGAAACTTTGCCACCAGACCACAAAATGGCATGGATCGGCCAGACCTTATCAGCCATACCCCAACCCTCCCGCTGAAAACGTCTGCGACGTTTTATACTACCCGACCTTTTTCCACTACGCCACCGTTCGGTAGACCATCTTTAATACCATGCCCACTACGATTTTCAGTCCCTCTTCGTGTTTTTCGACTTGTGTCACCCCCGGGAATGCATGCACCGACCTCCCGAAGAGGAACCTTGTGAGTACCAAGGAGGGAATGGGGATGGCTAAAAAAAAAACCCGTTCGCGATAAAAACTAAGGGAAGCACCACAGGGAACGAGCGGGGCAATAAAATAAAATAAAATAAATGACAAAATGCACCTTCCCCGCATAACATACGGAGAGATACACAAGACGGCTACCAGACTGTCTTATTGATCTATTACCCACAGGGGAGACATCGACGTGTGTTTCTCGGGAATCCGTAGAAACACGTTTGGTCGCAGGTGCTCTACGAAATCATTGCTATTCTATCGTGGACTATTCTCTATAGAGATGGATTCGTTGGTTATTTCGAGAAAAATGATACCAAGTATGACAAAAAGCTTCTGTGTGACCTTCCTTTGGTGTGACCCCGGCTGATACGCCAGGTATACAGTTGTTGCGCCGACAGGCCTGGAAACCGGCGCCAGAGAAGATGGGACGAACACGCACACGCAAGTTTTTGGTGCTTGCCCTCCGGTGGCTTTCACGTGCGAAGCCATGCATATATATTTTTTGTTATTGTCGTACCGTGGCGCCAGCCTATTAGAGTCTACTACGGCTCTCGGTGTACGTTTCACGCAACCAGCCGGCGGCACAGCATCAGGAGGAATTTTCCACCTCTTGCAACTCCTGAGGTGCTTGCTTGCAATGAAAAAAAATTAGCCAACGCTAGAAGGGGCGGACCATTGACGTATGTACGCATAGATGTGCCGCCGCCAGCGGTGCGTTCAACCGAACAGACGGACGGACGATGTTTTTGTTACGGTTTGGCGCCAGACTGCTGTCGGCGCGATGTTGCTGTCGGTGGTCATACAACGGACAGCTCTCGGAACAGAGCCTTGACCAACACAGAGAGGATGGCGGGACAGAGAGCTCCCGAAGCACTAGGTGTTGGTGTTATGTGGGGGCGTATGCTATGGTTCAGCAGCAGGAACTTGCGAAAACATACCACCCTCAACATTAGCAAGTCCTACTACAAGCAATGGAGAACACACATACATTCCTCCTCTGTTCGGTTACACCCCAAGAGAGCTACCGATGGTGCGGTGTTCAAGAAGCTAACTTGTTTCAACCACACTCTCTCTCTGCTGCTGCTGTTACCTGAAAGCATGTCAATTCGCGTGCCGCAACCAGATCTGCTCGCAGCTTGGCAAGGTCCAGAGAATCAGAGCTGGGCTCCAACGAGGAGCGTCCGGGAGTCCCTGAGAGCGATGGTCGCCCGCGGAACGACATGGCACCAAAAGAAATCGCCGCTTTTGTCTCGCTGTGCGACTCTCTCCTGCTCCACACACAGCAGCAACGCGTTTGGCGTGCGGTTTGTTTGTCGAGGCAAACACAACAATATGGCAACAACTTGACACAACAATGACAATGGCAAGGGGCTCCGCAGTCTGGGTACGGGTATGCAGGGGGGTTGGTTCGCAGTATGATTTCCCATGATGATAATACATTATGGATGATATGAACATAAAGCAGTTCAGACACACAGCTTCTTCCCCAGCGCGGCCACCTGGCATCTGTTGCTGTCGCGCGCATCTTGCCAACCGTGCCGAGAATCACGAGTGGACGTCGAACAAGAAGTCGAGAGCCGATTTTCCGTCCCTAGACGGTCCGCTGCACAACCCTACTGCAACCGTCCGATTTCCTCCGTTTCCGCAACACCACGATCGACAACACCAGCAAGCTCGTCGCCATGCAGCAGGCCCGATCGCTCGTCTTCGGGCTTCGACCGCCAACTTGCCGTGCCAGCAGCGTGCTCTCCTTCACCCAGCCCGCCCGGCCTTGGATGTCCCAGCCGGCGTCTGCCCTGCACAGCTGTAGTAGGCATCACAGCGGCGGCTGCGGCACGTCGTCATCAAGGCAGGCACCAAGGGCAGCAGATCCTGTCTCGCGCAACGGCGCCATGATGAGCAGCACGGATAGCAGCAGCAGCAGCAGCAGCAGCAGCAGAAGCAGAAGCAAGAGACTGCGGTGGGGAATGGCACTGGAATGTCCGGGTGCTTTCTCGGCAGTGCCGAGGAGAGGTCGGCCTGCTGCTGCTGCTGCTGTGCCCCGCCGGCTGCTTGGGCATCATGAAGCACGTATGTTCCTGATGGCTCCCTCCCGGAGATCCATGTCCACTGAAGCGGGCGGCGGCGGCGGGGTGGTAGAGGAAAGCGCTCACGGCGAGAGCGAGGTCGAAGACGACGAGGGCGGAGACGGGCTTCTTGCCGCGCTGGCGGACGAGCTAGTCTGGGAAGGGGATGACGACGAAGGGGAGGGAGATGATGGGGAGGAGGACGAAGCTGGGATGGAGGGATTGGATCTCGAGAGCTTGGGGATATCCATCATGGTCAGTTCGCGCGATGTTCGAGGTGTTAGGAATTCACATCCAATCAAAGAAAGACTGCCCGCTCTAGATATAACCACAGCAGTAGTCGAAGGGAGTGGTTTGAAGTTCTTTTCGGTGAATGTTGGTGTTGTTTTGGAGCGTGGACTCCGGCTGTGTTGGTACTTGTATGCATGCGTGTGGCACACCGAGGGCAAAAGACACAGGGTTCGTTTACGCAAGAGCCGAGATCGGTGCCTCAGATCTTCCCCGCGATGCGATAGCAACGCTGCCAAGCATCGAGTAGGCGTCCTGTTCCCTTGAGGGCGGCACGCCATCGTGTGTGCTCGTACACATCACATTCAAATACCGCCGTGCGCTCGTTCCCGTTCAAGCACCTGTATGCCTCCACCTGAGAGAGCATGGGAACCATTCGCCAGAACGTTCTTTGGCGTGCCTGTCTTACCCTCGGCTCTTGCGTTTTTTTCTCGGGCCAGGACGATGAGGATGCGGAGGAAGTGCAGGAGCAGCTTCGGCGAGAGTGGGGGACAGTCTCGGTGCAAAACGAGCAGAAGGAACACGAAATCGACACAGCCGAGCTACAGTCAAAGGTGCGGTGGCCTTCCTCCTGCCACTTATTTCGCGCCACTCACGGCCAGCTTAGCGCGAATTGTGTCGCCAGCGGAACGAACATACCGTAGTTTTCGTTAGACACCACGCCCCCCTACACCGATTTCGCAGGGAGAAACATGCCGCAGGTTACGCAAGGTATTACACCCCCTCCCGTTCACCAGATTTTTAGAGCTAGAAAACTCGACCACACGAAGAGGATGCCACAGCAGTCAACTGATGCGTTCTTGGAAAGCTCTCGAGTGTCATTTTCTACAGCACCCCAGCGTCGCTGCTGTTCTGGTTGTTGCTGCAGAGTAGTCGAGCTGTGCATGTTGGCCCAGGGGTGTGGTGTCTTACGTCACGCAACCTAAGGCATGCCATTGGGCGTTGGGTCGGTTGCGATGTCGACCGAGGTGAGCGCGTGTTCTCGTGCCGGCGAAGTAATCTCCGGCGGTGGTCGATCCATCCAAGTCGATTTAGAGCGTACCCACATGACGAAGTACTTCATACGTAGTAGTCCTTGTGCGAACACTCATACGTAGTAGTCCTTGTGCGAACACTGAAAAAAACTTTCGACGCGCTACATTCGCCACGATGGTTTTGTAGATGGTGTATGCGTAGATGTCATTAGGGATGGACAAAATATACGTTTTTTCTCGTGCGGTGTTGTAGCTGACATTGAATAACGTGTGCACAAACGTCGGAAGATCCTTCGAAGGGCTATATTCGAATACGCCCCCCCTCCTGGTTTGGCACAGCAAACGCAAGGGCGACCGCCAGCTTCCGGGTCATCCTCGTGAAACGTAGCTTGGGCCCGGTACATCGCTCCGCTCCGACATTGTAGGGATGCAAGGTCATTTTTGTTCCGACTAGGGCATTCTTCTACATGAGTACATACCCCCCCACCCCACCCCCCCACCCCTGTCCCCGCTTGCTTTGACTTTCGCCTCGGTATGTTGCCGTCCCGAACGATGTGGCGCCGCACACGATTCATTTTGTTTGGGGGTTTCAGATGAGGCAGGCTATGGAAGTCCTCGGTTGCCAGGCTTGGGACGTCGGAGCGGTTCTGACGACGGACAAAGAGGTCTTCCGGCTGAACCGTCAGGTGGGTGCAAGATGACGGCGTCGCACTCTTTACCGTGGCTTGTCGTGTCGAACCGGGGCTACGTGCCATGTGTTGCCGGCCCGGATATGTCACCACGTTTGTCGTTTAGAATGAGAACTCTTTTTTCTCCCTTGGTACGGTAGCGGCTACGGTCATGAAAGGTCATCTGGCTTGTCCCGGCCATGAGAAATGGATGTACCACTACTTCATTGTGTGTGTGCGTGTGTGTGTGTGTGTGTGTTTTTTTTAATCTATGTACGGCTTTTAAGATATTGCTTTTGCCTTGACCCGATCCTACCTTAACTCGCAGCCGCTACTGCTCTACCCGTTGACGATAGGGCGCCTTTCCTGTGTAGGATGCAGCAACCACGGGCGAAAGCAGCACTCTTTGCCGACCACCAACTGCGGCGCGGTCATCCACGGACACCGTCTCCTCCATCCCTTACCTTCTTTTGTCCGTTCGTTTTTGCTGGTGTCCTCCCGTGTCGCCTCGATTCGCATCCCCCCGATCCGTAAACAGTACCGAGGGATGAGCACATCGACCGACATCTTGTCGTTCCCGAACCACGACATGTCAGGCAGCCCTGGGGTGCTCCCAGAGGTAGACCTACTTTGTTTGCTCCGTTTCGGTGCTCTCTACCGGCTGATGTACACGAACGACGTACGGGGTCACTGTTGTACCATTGCTATCGCTTGCCTGGAGTTGCAACTTTGTAGTACGATTTTTTCAAGATAACCCGCTTTACGGCCGTTTGGGTCGCTGTCGTATATTCGTCTTCTTCAGCACCGGCTACCTGTCGCTGTGTGTGTATGTGAATGTGGCGCACATGCAACTCTTGACCCGTTTCCTGCCTTTCGCAACGTAAACCGCACTTGTTTTAGACAAAAGGCGATTTTCAAGTAACACCCAACACACGATGTTTTGGTTCCCGCGCGAGACGTGTAGGTGAGATTCCCCGCCGAGATGGACCTCGGGGACATGTTCATCTCCCTGGCTTACGTGGACCGACAGATCAAGAGGGACATTGAGGAACAGGCGGCGGCAGTGGCGGCGGCGGGGGGGGGTCAGGAAGAAGAGTGGTGGGACAGCGAGAGGGGCGTAAGCGGTGCAATGTCGAGAGTCTTCGATGTCCAGGTAGGAATGGCGCGCGCGCGCGCGTGGGGGGGGGGGACTCAT